GTCTCACAATGGAGATGTTACTGAACCTGCTCGAGCAAATCGATGAAAAACGGGAGGACAGTGCTACAGTGCTATTGATCAATATGTTCTCTATCTCTTCAATTACAAATATGTTAATTGCTGCAGACAAAATCTAATTCATTTCTACTCCAGTAATAGTTGACCCCACTGACTGCTTCCAAAGGCAGAGTTTGGTTCAATGATCTGGGCAGAGAAATCTACCAGGATTATGTGAAAAAGCCAAGCTGCTTTTCAATGGAATGCAAATGCCAGCAAGATGCTATTACAGTGTTCTTATTAGTCGTATATTTTGCATCTGGATAAATGATTTAGAACCAACTATAAAAATTGTCTCTCCTTTTACAGGGAATTCTAGAAGATTACCTTCTAAAACTTGCTTCGAAAAAAGTAAGGGAAGGAAAAAAAGAGACAGAGAGAGATAGTGAAAAAGAGGCAAAATCAATTCTAAATTACAATTATAAGTATACTAAATACATTTCAGATAAATTCACCATATGAAGCCAACATTAATGCCATAAGTGAAGACAGTGAAAAGTATCTGGTATTTTTTGGTCCTAGAAATCAAGAATCTTTCAATCTGCTTCTGTTGTTAGAATAGTCTTTATCTTCCATAGCACCCCTTGAGATCACTTGATCACTTAACATCCTGTTACTCATTGATTTGTTCGACAGGAACCACTAATGTCTCCATTCATCCCAGCTGCATGCTAGTGTAGCCCAATGGCCTCTGCTTGTTCCAGGAACATGAAGAGCCTCAAACCTATTGTTCAGAGTCTTGACGAACTCTGACCATCTTGTAGGTGGACAGCCACGCGGTCTTTTGATGTCCCATGGAATAGAGTCAGTAATGGCTCTAGTCCAGCGGTCATCTCCAAATTGCATTATGTGTGCAGCCCATCTGATTTTCGATGCCTTGGCAAACAAGACAGCATCCGTTATTCTCGATCATTGATGGACGTCGGAACTCTGGATTCTTTCTCTCACTTGAGTGAAGTGTGATACTCCAAGTATAGCTCTTTAGACTCCTCTTTGAGAGACCCGAGTAGCGTTCTCAACCTGTTTTCGTAGGGCCCAGGTCTCTGAGGTGTATGTTAATGCAGAAAGAACAGTGGAATCGAAGAGATGTGCCCAGAGCCAGAGGTTCTTCATCCTCTTAGTTATTTTTTCAACGCTCTTGAAGGCATTTCAAGCCATTCTCTTCCTCCTGCACAACTCAGGTGCCAGGTCATTTGTCATGTTGAGTTCTTGACCTAGGTATACATAACTGCTGCATTCAGTGATGTTTATTCCAATGAGAGCAAATGGAATATCAGGAATGAGTCTGTTTCTCATAAACATTGTCTTCATGAGATTCAGCTGCTGTCTGACCTTTCCAGTCGGCCAGCATTCATGCCGCTTAGCTAATGTTTGGTGTTATTAGAATGAGATCATCAGTGAAGCACAGGTGGTGTAGTTGCCAACCGTCTATCTTCACTCCCATTCCTTCCCATTTCAGTCGTCGCATGACGTTCTTGAGGGTGACACTGAAGAGTTTCGGTGAAATGGTATCACCCTGCCAAACCCCTTTCTTGACGTCGATGATCACTTCCTTGTAGAATGATGAGATCCTGGTTACAGATTCACTACCCTTTGAGATGATGAGATCCTATTATGCATTACTCTTTGAGATGCTTCTCTCAAATTATTGTTTCCTAGGATTAGAGTAAATGAATGGGCTGAAGGATAAATTAGAGCTATCAATTCCTCAACCAACACAGCTAATTCAGTCTCTGGTATAAAGTAGCTGGAGGTGGCTATGAGAAAGGCCAAACAATAGACAGTGAAAAGGATGAGGGAGGTGATGACAGTCTTCATGGCTCCCAAGTGGGCATCTCTGCTTGGGTCTCTGTGTCTGCTGCCACTGAGCTGCATCTTCCTGGTGTGCTTCCACAGGGAGGGGATCAAGAGGCAAAAGAAGACCAGTGACACAGAGAAGGGAAATACTGTTAAAAGGTTGAGAAATATCTTGATGGACTCATATTGAGCTTGATTTACTCTGCACTTTAATGTTCCATTTCATCTCTTCTTTACCTTGATACAGTACCTAAAATCATCATTAAAATTCTTTGTTAAAACAAGGCTGATCTACACAGAGAGGACTATGCAGCCCAGCAGGAGCCTAAGAACCACCTGGTCAATTCTCTACTTCATCCAGAGGAAAAGGGGATGCATGAAATTATCTATCTTGAGGAAATTAGCAGACTGAGGCAGGTGGTAAAAACACACACTGAGTTGGTTGGTGAGTGTCCAGAAGAAGTCAATGACTCTCATTTGTTTACCAGCAGTATAGACATTTGGATACTGCACCAACATAAAGCAGTCTAACATTATTATGCACAGTAGCCAGGAAGGATAAATCAGAGCTATCAACTCCCTAAGCAACACAGCTAGTTCAGTGTCTGGTAAAAAGTAGCTGGAGATGGCTATGAGAAAGGCCAAATATGGGAAACAGCCAGACACGTGAGAATTAAATCAATGGAGGCCATCTTCCTTTTCTTGATCCAGTCCAAGAATTTTACCAGTCCAATAAATACATTTCCTAAGATTCCCATCGAGAATTCTCCAGCTGCTATGATCATTAAGGTGCTGTTCACCTCACCTGACATATTAAAAAGCAGAAATATGCAATTCATTTCTAACTGAATGGATGGAGTTCTACATCTATGCTTACTTCATAGGTTTCACTGTAATTCTGTCTTGTGATGGATACTGGGTGGTCTTTCTTCATGAAATTCTGATTAGTCTTGACAGAGCCATAAGGTTGATGATGTTTATTCTGGACCTTCTATATCCTTATATCTTCTCAGTGTGTTTCACTTTTCTGCATTGTTCATTTAGTTAAGTTACATTTTGCTAATATGAAAATTAGGCTTATTGCCTTTTATGGTGCCACAAGTCTTTCTGAGGCTATGTTGTACAAATCTTATGTTTATAAATCTATGATGTAAGTCAGGAACCCAACAAAACTGATAGATTTAACAAATGAAAACACAAGACTATCAGCTAAAATTTAATTTCAAATAAATGATACACTATTTTTTAGTGTATATCATAAATTTTTTAACTTCACTTCTTCCAGGAAATAGTGAAATTTAATTTCATTTGTGTAGCCCACATTTTATTTGACTGACCAATCCTTAAGGATTGTCTATAAATTATAAAGTTGGTATCAAAAATGTTTTTATACATATTTTGATTTTATTGGATGACAATATTAATTATAGCTAAAATTACAAAATCTGGCAGATTTTCAGTTCATTTAAATATTATAACATTTTATTTAATAACTGTATCACTGTATCACTGTCATTCTGTTGATCTTCAGTTTACTCGAGTGGTTGCCAGTAACAACTCTATTCCTCCCAGACCTGAGATTTTATCAGCCTTTTCTTACTTGAGTTTTCCCAACTACTGGAGGCTCTTTCAAGGTCAGAGAAATGAGACTATTGTTGTTACTGTATTTGGCTTATCGAATATGCCACGGGAAGCTTGCCAGGCACTGCCCATGTGGATGGGATACTCTCGGTATCTTGCCGGGCTCTCAGAGAGGCATAAATGGATAGGAAATATTCAGAAAATAGCCTAGAGCATGGCAGTGGTTGGGCAGTGGAGGTCTCCTGTCAGGGCTGGGTCTCTTGAGGTGGGGAGGGCTCTAACCTGTCCTACAGCCTGACATGAGTCCAGTGGCATGGTTCTATTAATATTAAATATTAAAAAATTAAACACATATTATTTGCTTCTAAAAAGACTTGTTTTTGTACTTTGGACAGAATAATAATTACATAACATAAAGTATTTTATTTTATTTTATTTATTTTTGGGTCACATCCGGCAATGCACAGGGGTTACTCCTGGCTCTGCACTCAGGAATTACCCCTGGCAGTGCTCAGAGGACTATATGGGATACTGGGAATCGAGCCCGGGTCGGCAGAGTGCAAGGCCAGAGTGCCCTACCTGCTGTGTTATTGCTCCAACCCCAGCATTTTAAATGAAGCATTATTTATTCCTTCAATGCTTGTTATGGTCATTAGAGATATTTAAAACATTGAAGATACCAAACACAAAATGGAGAAGAAAGGATTTTAGATTAATGGAGGGTAACTTACCCTGAGGCTTACAAAACATTTAATTCTGGGTGTAATGCCAAAACTAACAAACAAACAAAAAACAAAAAAAATAGGAACCTGAATGAAAAATTAATATCAGGTTTTCCATATTAATCATATTATAAAGATGAGTGGAAAGACTTTTCTAGAGCTATTAAGATAGATACTATTCCTATCCTTGTGCATGAAAAAGGAAGTTGCTTTTAATCTAGGAAAATGAATAAGAGGTGCTTGAAAGATGTCAACCAGGAAATAATACCTGGAAGGCAACCTAAAGCACCACTCACTTGGAAACAAAAGGGTACACAACCAGAAAACTGAACCGAAGACAGCACATGGAAATCTGAGTTCCTAATCATAACACCTGTCAGATGGGGATGACCCAGGTGAGTCATGAGGGAGGTGCTTCAAAGGTCATCAGTGCAGCTCTATCATAGATAAGAGTGAGAAAATATCAAAGCAAATGAGTTTCTTATTTCAAAGAGAAAGAGGGAGAGAGAGAGACAGAGAGACAGAGAAGTTCAGGTGCATTTTGCCATGAATCAAAGTAAAATCTCAAAGGAATTTAATTAACTTACATATTTTTAACATTTGAAATCAGAAGACAAGAACAAGCATGAGCTCTGATTCCTGAAAGAATATGAGACTGGAAGTAAGAATGTCTGTGGTAGAGAAATAAAGGATACATTAGCTCTCACATCACTGATAAGTATCCAAAGGAAATGGAATAAATGGATAAATGAAACGAACCTATAAGAAAGTTGACAACAGAGTTTGCTTTTAAATTAGTCTTTTATGAAGTTACTAATTTATGTTAGGCATTATTTCCCCCTTTTATCTTAATATCCTGACAGGCGCTTTCCTCAGCTTGCTATTTCCCATAATTAAAATAAGGGAGTGGGCAGAGGGGTAGAGAATCATTAAAATCTTTCCAAGCCTACCAGCTAATGTTTTTTCTTCTATTAGGTGGCTATAAGTTACTAAAAGACAAGCCCCATAGTATACCAAAAGGAGGAAGAGAAAAGAAGTCACATTTTTCATGGCTGTAATATGGGCTTCTGTGCTGGGGTCTCTCCAGCCTGTAACATTGAGTTTCATTTGCTTGGTATGTCTCCACAGAGACAAAATTAACAGGAAAAATGAAATCAATGACACGACAATTGGGACAACTGCCAAAAGGTTAGAGAGGGTTGATGGGTCGAAATATTTAATTTCACTCACATGGAACATTTCAGTGATGTTGCTTTGATGTTCTGTAAATCCATAACTATCTTTATAATAATTCGGTATTGCTGTTAGAAGGCTGCTCAACAAACAAATGGCTAACCCCGCCAGCAAGATCCAGTAAATCACCCTGTCAATCCTCCATTTTAGCCAAAGAAAAAGTGGACTGGAGAAATTCGCTATCTTCAGCAAGTAGAAGACGTTGAGGCAGGTGGCAAACCACAAACTTGAGTAGCTGATGAGTACCCAGAAGACACTGAATAGTATCCGTACTTTAACATCTTTATAAAAATATGGTTGGAATATCTTTACAATGTCACCTGATATTATTCTGATGACCAAACAAATTCTGGAAATAGCCAAACTTGTGAGGATGTAGTTAAGGGAGGGGGTTTTATTCTTCTTAATAGAGTAGATCCAGGACATTAGTCCAAGGTACCCATTTGCCAACATGCCTATCAAAGATTCTATAGCCATAATAATCAAGATGATATCTTCTTTAATGAACATGTTGCTAGCAGCGTCCCACTGTAACTCCAGATAGATTAATACACAAACTGTAGGAGCTGATAAATTCCTCAAGTTATGGAATTACTTTTCATTTGTCATTATTTTTATTTTGATATTTTCCCAGGAGTGCCCAGTGCTCCTCTGAAATCAGATCATTTCTTCATTTATGACTATGATAATAACTAATTGCTTCAAACAGCTTGTCTAGTTTTGTCACCAGGGAAAATAATAGTTATCACCTTTTAGTCAGTGAAAACTGAAATGTTGAGTTAAAAACTGCTCTCATGCAAATTTTCAACGATTGCATTTCATGAATTTGCAATAGACTTCCTGCTGTCATATTTTGCATATTAGGACCTGTCAAATTATATTTTGAATAGTGAAACTCAAAAAAGCAAGCAAGCTTGTCACGGTCATGGTCCTCCTATTGTTCATCGATTTGCTCGAGTGGGCCCAGTAACATCTCCATCGTGAGACTTGTTGTTACTGTGTTTGGCATATCGAATACATCACGAGTAGCTTGCCAGGCTCTGCCGTGGGGGTGAGATACTCTTGGTAGCTTGCCGGGCCCTCCGAGAGGGGCAGAGGAATCGAACTCGGGTCGGCCATGTTGGCTGCTTGTAAGGCAAATGCCCTACAGCTGTGCTATGGCTCCAGCCCAAGCAAGCTTGTAGTTAATAAAAATTAAAAGGTATAAATGAAATTTCATTAATTAAAAGCACAGCGGGTAGGGCGTTCGCCTTACAAGTGGCCAACATGGCCGACCCGAGTTCGATTCCTCCGCCCCTCTCGGAGAGCCCGGCAAGCTACCGAGAGTATTCGATATGCCAGACACAGTAACAACAAAGTCTCCAATGGAGACGTTACTGGGCCCGCTCGAGCAAATCGATGATCAACGGGAGGGCCTTTACCTTTACCTTTACCTTAAAAGCTACCCATGAGTCAGTTCTTCTTTTGGAAATGGATTTTAGTTTAAGGAATGGTAAATGCAAATATAGATTGTAGAGAGTTAGCATTCAGACAGAAGTTAATAATTTTTGCTTCCATATAAATGGCCAATTTTCTATGAATATGAATATATCTATAAATGGCATAATTATTAGCCAAACATGAACATAGCAGTAACTCAGAAGAACGTATTCTGGGCTGTTGCTTTTTAGAAGTGAAAGATGCTAGAAACTCTAATACATTTAGTTTTAGTTAATGTGGCAAATGCTGCCCATGACAATTCATTCCTTTAATGTGTCTTGAATAATAAACATTTTCTTTTCTTTTTTTGGGGGGGTCACACCCAGCAATGCTCAGGGGTTATTCCTGGCTTTGCACTCAGGAATTACTCCTGGTAGTGCTCAGGGGACCATATGGGATGCTGGGGATCGAACCCAGGTCTGCCGCGTGCAAGGCAAATGCCCTACCCGCTGTGCTATCGCTCCGGCCCCCAATAATAAACATTTTCATGTAAAAAGAAGGATATTAATATTTTATATTACTCTAGCTACAGTCAATTCCTTTTATAAGATTTATAATCTCACATTCTACATTGCAGTCATTTCTCGAGATGATGCGATAAGCACATTCAAATAATAGTTTTCTCTAGGATTGTGCTTCCTATGACCCCGCAATTCCACTTCTTAGCATCTACCCCGAGGGCCCAAAACTCTAATCAGAAAAGACACGTGTGCTCCTGTGTTCTTTGCAGCACAATTTTCTGTAGCCAAACTATGGAAAACCAAGGGTCCAAGGATACATGACTCAATAAAGAATCCATGGTATGTATACACATTGACACATGGATTGTACTTGCTAGAGAAAAGATGAAGTCTCACAATTTGCTTCTACGTGGATGGGTCTGAAGAATACCATGCTGAGTGACATGAGTAAGAAAGAGGACAGTCACAGAATGAACTGTCTCATGTGTGGGATATAAATAAACATAGTAGGAGAATAACAAATGACCAAAGGCACAGAAGTTGAAAGCAGTCTTCAGCAGGAAGCCTACCATGGTGAGAGGCAGGGTGGATGGGGCGGATATTGTGCGGGTGGCCACTGGGACAATGGAGATTGGAAGTGGAAACTCTGGTGAAGGGTATAGTGCCTCAACACTTGGTGTCTGATTCTCCATTGGCACAGCACCGATGCCGTGTCCCCTGGTGCATTCAGGACCAAAGTCGTTCCCCCAGAGGATGAACAGAAGACTGATGACCAATGACGAGTTTATTGAGATCATACAGTGCTAATATGGGAAAAGAGAAACTGCTCCATTCAGAGTGAGGGGACAGGGATGGAAAATGCAATAAATGATTAACAGGAAAATAAGGCACAAAGGAGAAGTTAAACACAAGTACTGGAAATTGGGAGTCCCTGGGGAAACTGGGAGTACCCAGAGAGCACTGTAGTGGGTGAGAATGAAGGTTGCAGGGTGATGGGAAATTCCATTAACATAAACTCTCTGCCAGGGAGAATGGCCTACCCAAAGTCAAACCTGAGCTGCTGTAAATGTGGACGGAAAAATGATTCAGCAAATTCTGGTAAATGAACTACAGCAATTACAAATTAGGGGGGATGGCACACCTTTGGGTGCTGACCTTCCCCCCACTTCTCCATCTCTGGAGCGGAGGTTCCGATGCCCTCTTGCCTGGAGGCGACTCCCAGAGGATTGCTCAACAGAGTGGCACTGACCAGGCAGTTGGGGCATAGGGCCAGCAGGGATTCCAACACTCTAGTCTAACAGTCCTGTTAATAATGGATTTGGAAAGGAAATTCCAATAATTTTCTTCCCAGCCAAATTTTTAGAAAATAGGATTAATTTTCCCCTCTATAAGCTTAATTTTCTGTTTTAATTTTTATTTTCATTTTCATTCTCCTTTTGCTTTTAGTTCTGGGGCTTTCTCCTGGCTCTGCTCTCAGGAATCACGTCTGATGGGGCACAAAAGTGGATTTTCTTACGAATTTTTTAGGGATTAAAGTGGAGTCACCTGGGGCATGCCAATGACCTACCTGCTCTACTAAACCTTCCCCCCTCTCAATTCTACTTTGAAATGGATTTATATGAGGGATAGTGAAATTATTTAGCATACAATAAATTTGAATCTACCCAGAGGCTCCCAAACTTATTTGATCATCATCCATCCCCCTTAATGAACAACAACAAAAAATCCTATGCACTGGCATGGAAATCCAACTTGTCTAAGGAATAAACAGAACATTGCGCCAGAGGCTATGCCACACTGAAAAATTTTTGGCTCCCCCAGGAGGCAGTTGGGCATATTGAGAAACATTGATATGGCTAATACAAATCACATAAACTCAGGTTTCTCTCATTTAAATAGTTTTGCAATGAAAACAAGAAATATATATGTATATATAAAATATGCAAATATACTTTCCCTATTTCTTACAACGTGCATAGTATATAATAGGAAAGCATGATGTTAGTAATTTAGGGACATGTGATTACCTATAAAATACCAGAAACAAGTGAGGAAAGGAGACGTAGCTGAAGAAAATAAAATGTCAAAAACTACTGAGTCTAGACGGAAAGAGAGAACATTGAAAACATTCTTTGAGGGGCTGGAGAGATAGCACAGCGGGTAGGGCATTTACCTTGAACGCAGCCGACCCGGGTTCGATTCCCAGCAATCCCATATGGTCCCCTGAGCACCACCAGGAGTAACTCTTGAGTGCAGAGCCAGGAGTAACACCTGTGCAAAGAAAAAAAAATTTCTTTGAGAACTGATACTTAAGCTTGATTTATCTATGAAACAACATGACTATTGGAACTGCCAACCTTCTCTCTGAGGTGACACCGGTATTCATATTTCTGTTTTGTTTGTTTTGTTTGGGGCCATACCTATCTGTGCTCAAGGCTTACTTCAGACTATTTTCTGAGTAATCACTCCTGGTGGGTTCAGGTTCATATGAGATGCTGAGTATTGAACTCGGGTTGGTCACATGCAAGACAAGGTCCCTACCTATTGTGCTATCCCTCTGACCCTTGGCATATTTATTTCTAATTATATAAATCTTTTTTCCAGTTAAAAATTCATAATAAGATTTTTATCTACCCAGCTTAGGTAATTCACATTTTAAGCTAGGCAAAATCTTCCAGAGTTGTCTTAACCCTCTTACTCAGAATCGACCATATTATTATTATTATTATTTAAATTTTTGGGTCACTCAGCAAACTGAGGGGTTACTCCTGGCTCTGCACTAAAGGATCACTTCTTGTAGTGTTTAAAAGATAATATAGGATGCTTGGGATTGAACCCGGCTGTCCTACTGCAAGGCAAGCACCCTATCCTCTGTACTTTCGCCCCATAGAACCAACAGTTTTAAAAAAGGAGAGGAGAGGTCTGATAAAGATTGAAATTTCATAGAGCCAAAGTCAGCAATTCTTTATAGGATTTATTTGATAAGATTTTTAAAATATCTCTTTCTATAACTGGTTTGCAGAAATTCTTCTATTCATCGAATTCAAGGACTTTGCCACTATAGGAGGGAAAAAATGCAGGAGCTTTTTTTTTTGTGGGCAATAATAAGAACTGTTTATGTAGGATCTAGATTCATTTTTCCTACAAAAGAAAGAAGTATCATAATAACAATAACATAACATTATTTGATTCTAAGCTAAAAAGCAAAAGTATGAAGACAAAGGACATTTTAGAATAAAGATAGATGGGGTCGATTTTTAATCATAAAATAGAAATGAAATTATTCTGAGAAGAGGCTTTGGTTGGTATCTTTTACTTTGAATTCAGAATTCTTTTTTTGTTTTTTCTTTTTCTTTTTTTTTAGGGGAGGGGCGGTCACACCCAGCGATGCTCAGACATTTCTCCTGGCTCTGCACTCAAGAATTACTCCTGGCAGTGTTTCGGGGACCACATGGGATGCCAGGGATCAAACCCAGGTCAGCCGTGTGGAAGGCAAACGACCTCCCCAATGTCCAATCACTCTAACCCTGAATTCTGAATTCTTCATGAAACAAAAATTCTCTTCTTTGTGGAAACCCTTCCCAATGTTTAAGACCTTGAGAAAAGTCACCTTCAGCACGTTGTTCCCTTTTATCAGGATGAATGAATGAATGAATGAATGGACGGGAAAATGACAGTTATGTGCCACCCACATCCCACCAATTTTCCCTGAGGAATCATAAAGCTAGATGTTGCTACAAGAAAGACTGCATAATACATCATTAAGAGCAACAGAAAAATGATCACAGCCTTTATGACCTTCCTGTGGGCGATTGAGTTGGTGTGTCTTGACCCTAGAGTGGCCGAAAGGTTCATCTGCTTGGTGTGTCTAGATAAAGACAAAAGTAGTACTGTAGCACTGTCCGCCCATTGTTCATCCATTTGTTCGAGTGGGCACCAGTAACGTCTCACAACAAATTGTGAGACTTGTTGTTACTGTTTTTGGCATATCAAATACATCACGGGTAGTTTGTCAGGCTTTGCATGCGGGCTCTCGGTAGCTTGCCAGGCTCTCCGAGAGGGGCAAAGGAATCGAACCCGGATCGGCTGCATGCAAAGCAAACGGCTTACCCATTGTGCTATAGCTCCAGCCCAAAAAACAAAAGTAGCAAGAGAAATGAGATTGGGAAAAGACTAAAGGGAACAAGACCCACCATGTTCAGAATAATCAAGTCTATTTTGAAGCATTAGGAATTTTACTCACTTTATTTTTTTTTTCTGAAATACACATCATGCTGTTTAGTTTTTAATTTGGAAAATACAAATAAGTAAACAAATTTCCTAATAACAAAATGAGTGATATAGTAGGGTAAAAATATCAAATATGAAAATACAATGATTACAACAGTGTTCTTCAAAGCTAAAGAGACATTTAGACCAAGAAAAGAGAATTTTTTTTTTTTTTAGAAAAGAAAATTTTTGTTCTTAAGTATTTGCGGGAGTCTTTCAAGCAGTCCTTGGTAGGCTTGGTAGGACCTTTTTTAAAATTTTTTTATTAGTGAAACACCATGAGGTACAGTTATAGACTTACAAATTTTTGTGCTTAGATTTCAGTTATACAATGATCAAGTACCCATCCCTCCACCAGTGCCCATCCTCCACCACCACGGGTCCCACCATCCCTCCCTTCCCCATCCCCCCCATCCCTGGAAGGCATAACTGGATGTACTCAGGGTGTTCTGGAATTTTTCCAATTTTTATTTAAATATGATTAGAAAAAATATTTTGAAAAACAAATTTACTGTCAATAAACATGGTCTATTTTTAAACTTAAATACCACAAGAATAGCAATTAACTTCATAGGCTTTTAAAAAGTCAAAGTAAAACAATGATTAAGTTGTTGCTTTGTCATCTTATTTAGTTGTAAAACCTGTGCAAGAGAGAAGATGTTTTTACTGCCATGAAATAAGAGTATTTGTTAGGCTTCTAAATCCAGTAAATCGAAAAAGTGTTTTTTCCCTCAAAGTTATATTTTACCAGATTGTTGGTAGCTTCTTACAGACCTAACGAAGGCATTATTGCCACAAGGAATTGTGCAGGCAGGAAGTGTATTCTAACTGTGAGGTCTGAAAAATTTAATAACAAAACTAAAAGATTTACAAATAGTTTACCAAAACTTTTAGTATGAAGTGAAGAATTTATGGAACTCTGTAAGAGATTTGGGGTACATTCTGATATGGTAAATTCATGGGGGGTGGGGCCAGATTTGGGTCTCTTCTGACTGTGCTCAGGTCTTACTCCTATCTCTGTGCTCAGGGATGATTGCTGGTGATGCTCAAGGGAACATAGATAGGCTTGGGGATCATATCAGGATCTGTATATGCAAGGGATCTTGGCCCCTTGCTATCTCTCTGGCCTGCAAGTTGGTTTTTATTTTTTTACCTCACCTTCTATTGCTTTGTAAAGTAAGTTACTTAATCTCAAAGTAAATCCTCTGACATAAACTGCTATTGTTAAACATATGCTGTTTTTTATAAAATTCCTGAATTTCTACATTTTGTATGTAAATCAAGATACATCCAAAAGTAATATGAATTTCATTTATAATTGCTATATATGAGATTGGGGTGAAGGTAAATACCTAGGACTCTCCTGCTGGTGTTCAGCAAGTGTCATTCTATGCAATGCCTACAATTCCATGAGCTATACTGGGAGGAGAAAGTCAAAATTTATTAATTATATCCAATCATTCCATCCGCATATCTTAAAACACATGCACATGGTCCTTTAATTTTAGTTTGAAGTAGATTGAGAATTCCCCCAAAGATTTTACTGTCAGCACTCTTTCTTTCTCAAAATTTGTACTTTCCCACTTTTGTGGTATCTGGGAGGTCTTTCTTTATTTGACTTTTTTTCTGACAGCTAGATTATGCACTTAAAAATTCTGGTTTCTTTTTAACACTTTTTTAAGAAATATATTCCGGATTAGGGGAATTTTGCTAGATATCTGGTTTGACACATTCTTGAAAGCAAAGATGGTTGTTGTTTTCCCCCAAGTTTTCACTTTCTTTTATATTTTAATTAGTGCATTTGGAATAATATAGATTTCTGCCTAAATATTGACTGATATACATGCCACAATGTTGACACAGAGCTCTTACACTGTCCACAGAATTTATACACAGTTTTCATTGGTTCCAGATTTTGCTTCTTCTCAAATCACTATATTTGAAATATATAAACTCTTTTAGCTAGTTAGTCCTTCTCCCCATGAAGACTCCATTTTCTGAGCTATTTTTCATGTACTACTATGAATACTGCTATTACATCAAATGCAAAGAAACTGAAAATGGACATTCACTTTAAATAATGAAATAGAAAGAAATCTTTAGAAAAATTACAACTGCACACTCAAGGATGTCTTTGTCTTTCACTTTCATATTCTTAACATCAACATTACTCAAAATTTTCTTATCTGGATTTCTCTCTCTTTGGATCTTCTTAGTGAGACTGTCAGTGCATTCAGGAAGCCAGATGAAGCACAGTGTACTAAAGTCTGGTCTTAAATGATGATTCTGAGAATGGACTCCAACTTAATTTTTCTCTGAGAAGTGTGTAGAAAGACATTGCAGGGGAGGTAAGCTGTCAGAGTCACTGAAGTTGCCCGGGAGAGTAAAAACATGCTGAAGAGTGAAGTTCCCTGAGATGTAGCTAAAATAATTGTGGATTTTAGTGATGTTCAACAACATCATTAAAACCACTGCAAGAAGGTGCTGCATGAGAAAAAAAACCTTCACCGATTTCTTCATCCAATTTTTCTTTTAGAATATCCATTTCTTCCCAGCCTGTCTATGGTATTGTGGGAATTTTTTTCTCTTACCAGCACTTCAACTGCTGTAGGAATCTCCAAGAGGCCTGCTTCAGCTGACTGTTTCCTAGAATTAAAATAAATGTGTGCCCACATGGATAGATGGTTGCAGTGGTCATGCCAAAAATAAAGAGCAGTTTGTTTTGGGGTACAGTCAAACATGATATTTCTATAGCAATGCCTATAAAATACAAGACAAAGAGGATGATGAAAGATAACACAATTTTCATGGCTCTCATATGTGCCGCTGTGCTCTGGTCTCGGGATCCGGTGAAGTTTTCTCGCATCTGCCTTTGGTGCTTCCAGAGGGAAACCATCAACAAGATGCAGGTTATCAGGGTTAGGGTAAAGAAAATGATGCTTCCCAGGTTGAATAGAAACTGGTGGATCAAGAATTCACGGGGCGGCTTAGAAAGATACAAGGTGATATTTTTGTTTTCCGTGCTTTTACTATTAATAATCTTCACAATTTGTGGGAAAATAAGTAACCAGTAAAGGAACAAGGTTCCCATCAAAAGTGGAAGAACCCTATTGATTCTACCCTTTAACCAGAGGAAAATGTGGTGGGAAAAATGTGCTATCTTCAACAAATAGAATATGCTGAGGCTGGTGGACAACCAGATATTTAATTGACAAATAATTACCCATAAGTAACTAACACAATCAATTAAACCACTAAAGATGTATATATCTGGAGAGAAGATCTTCATAAATCCATCTATAATTATTAGCCATATCAGACAAATTCTGGAGGTAGCTAAGCCAGTGAGAATAAAGCCAATCATAGAGAGTTTCTTGTTCTTCACACAGTCAATGCAATACACAATTCCAATAAATCCATTCCCGATAGTCCCTAGTATTGATTCACTAATTGCTGCAAAAAGCAGAAGGCTTTCTCCTATACTCAGCATATGTCCTGAGCCCTTTGGTTAGATTACCTGCAACAGGGTGAAGCAGATATTAGCTGCTTGATGGAAGAGTTATTTTTCTTCGTTTTTGTCAAATAAAGACTTAATGGTGTTGCAATTAATGCCTCGTGATAGGATCTACAATATCTTCACAGAGACCCCTTCCATTTAGCTCTATAAAGATTATTCTCGGGAATGTGTACTTAGACTGAATATCTACCTACAATTTGTTAAGATGCAAATGGATGTTTCTTTTTCATAGATTTTACTTTTCCCTCTTGAGATAATTTGCATTTGTTGTATTGAACTGTGGAATAGCTGTGACAAATATGTCTACAGGAAACAAAATACAACAGAAGGGGTGTAGGTAGAGAGATAGCACAGTCGGTAGGGCACTTGCCTTGCACAGAGCCAATCAAGGTTCTATCTCTGGCACCCTGTATGGTCTCCTAAACTTGATCCCTAAAGGCAGAGCTAGGAGTAAGCCCTAAGCATATCTAGGCGTGGTTTCTTCAAAGCATACTACCCCTTATTTCCCAGGGGAGGGGGGGCGGGGGGGGGACAAGACAGTCATTTACTTTTCAAATAGAATAATATAACCATTCTGAAAGGGAAAACAGAAATAACCAATAAATTTTATTAGTTTTTTAAAACTCATTTAACAAGCTCATACCCTCATATAGGTATACATGAAGAGAATAAAGTATAAATTAATGTGTGCTACAAGGTTCTTCTCTGCTTCGTCTACCTATCTTTGTCTATCTCTTTCCAGAAGTGGCTTGTTTTTGAGTTAAACAAATCCAAAATCACTTTTGTGTAAAACTTAGTGGAAAACTAAGCATACAGCTTTAAAATTGAAATTACAAAAATCACCAAAGACTTCTTATTTGTGTATTTGTGGGTGTGCAGTGTGAGAGAGAGACTGATATAGAAACAAAGAGAAAGCAAGGCAAAGAAGAGGTTTTTGATTACCTTCAATGATAAGTGAAATCAGTACTCCTTGAAGAAATTGTGAATCTAGTTCTGGTTTAAGAAAAGTACAACGTGAACATAATTATATCCTCATTCCAGAATTTAAGGAAACATTAAATCATTTGGACTTGTCAAAAGGACACAGAAACCAACTAGAGATAGTTTTAAATCCAGAATAATCTTAAATGAAAGATCCACTAGGGACTAGAGAGATAGCACAGCAGGTAGGGCGTTTGCCTTGCATGCAGCCGACCCGGGTTCAATTCCCAGCATCCCATATATGGTCCCCAGAGCACAGCCAGGAGTAATTCCTGAGTGCAGAGCCAGGAGAAACCCCTGTGCATCGCTGAGTGTGACCCAAAAAGCAAATAAAATTTTTTAAAAATCCACTAAATAATATATGAATCAATAAGTTACATAAACAAATGCATAAATATGTGAATGACTTCAAGTATTTATTTATTATGTCCAAAGACCCCAAAGTAAGTATAATGTCTCCTTTATATCAATGATCATTAATATAATGACATGACTTAGGAAAATTTCTGAAGCATCTTTGTAGGAGGTCTTACCTGGTAAACAATGTGAACGTGAAATATTTAAAAAATATTCTCTCCTTATTTTAATAAAGAAATCTCTCCTTTTCTCCCATCTCTCTTTTACATACTCAAGTGCAACTTTATATGCTCAGTCCTATATGAGCTTTCATATGACAAGCCCTGATTTTTTTTTAATTTTTAAATTTTTATTAGTGAAACACCATGAGGTACAGTTGTAAACTTACAAATTTTTGTGCTTGGGTTTCAATTATACAATGATCAAATACCCATCCCTCCACCAGTGCCCATTTTCCACCACCATGGGTCCCAGTATCCCTCCACCCCCTCATCCCCCCATCCTACCCTGCCTGTGTGGCAGGGCATTCCCTTTTGTTCTCTCTCCTTTTGAAGCCCTGATTTCTTGAGAAAACAAAAATTTAAAGCACGTATCTTCAGGAAAATACAATCTTGAAAATCAAATGAAAATTGCCACCAAGGTTTGAAAGTGCATTAGAAACTAATCATAGATCTCCTCAACCTTCCTGAAAGGTTCTTCTCTTGCGGGGTATCACAGTAACAGGGCCGATTTGGGATTTATGGGTGCAATAGTGTTTTTTTTCTTTTTGGGTCACACTCGGTGATGCACAGGGGTTACTCCTGGCTCATGCACTCAGGAATTAGTCCTGGTGGTGCTCGGGGGACCATATGGGATGCTGGAAATCGAACCTGGGTTGGCCACATGCATGGCAAATGCCCTACCTGCTGTGCTATCGCTCCAGCCCTCAATAGTGTTTTGTGTAAACTAGCACCATCAGCTTGTCACAAGCAGACAACTCCTTAAGGGTAAGCAATCAAACAGGGGTTGTGGATTGTGGCTATATACATTGGTAAAACACTGGAAGATTTTTCCCTGAAGTTAAACTTTCAAGACATGACTTCAGAAACAAGCATTGCCAAAAATAGTGTTTTCTTGGTCTCATCATATCTTCCACTTTAATGTCTACATTTAATGCCAGAAAAAAATAACAGATTTAAACAAAGCATTTCTCTTTTCAATATTTTAATCAACTTCTATGAAAAATATATGCACACGTGGAGAGAACAAATCCACTATGTCTCCTTCCCCACCCATGTTCAGCAGTTATCAGTGCAGTCACTATGCCTATCCCATTTTACTTCCACACCGATCTTGAATTGCAGTTAAGATAACATAGTTCCACATCCTTTACAGTGCACAGTAGTCTACTATAACCAGATTTTCCAGAGTAACTGACTTGCAAAAGAATTTAATGGTTTTGAGTAATTCAGATTATTTGCTTTCTACAGTTGCATCAGTAGAAAAGTAATCATGAAGATAATTTAAGAGATCATCACAGCATGAATACAGTAGCTAAATCTGCATCACTGTTGAGTCTAAGTGGTTACCTACAGTCCCCACTCATTTTAGGTAGTAGTATGTACATATAAACTGTAAATCCTGAATGACTATCAGATCCAGATGAACCTGTCTCCTGTAAATGACTCAGTATTGCTGATAGTAATTTAAAATATTCTGATATTTTCCTATTAATTTTTCTCTAGTATACTTTAATAAACCCACTGATTCCATTTTAATGACTTTTGCTTAATTTTTAACAACATCCCTCTTCCGTAATTATGTGTGAGTAGAGTGTAATATATACAAAAGTTCTAAGATCACCGTAAGTATAAATATATATCCATACATATGTAATTCTGAGATGTGATATTTCCTCTCTCCAACTTATCCCTAGTTATTATATTAAAGGTCTCTCCATGTTTAGATGAATTTAAATATTAGTCACTCAGAACACATACAGAAGGAAGAATTCAGTGAAGCAAGTAGATTCCACAAAGACCGCTGTTGATTTATATTGCACATCTATGTATATCTCTGCAGAAACTTGCTTTCAGGCGATGTTTCCAGGTCCAGAAAATCCCCAAAAAATCTTTCTTCATTTGACTGTTTCCAAAAATCACCACATAAGAGTGAGCGGAAGGATACAGAAGACCTAATGAATAGCCTAACATCATAATCGACTTACGATATTGAAAATAATGTGCACTAACTATTAGCAAAAGGGCCATGTGGAACAGCAGAAAGAGCACAAGAAAGAAAAACACACTCTTCATGGCTCGAAAATGGACCTCCAAACTGGGATCTCCGCGGCCCCTGACATTGAGCCCCATGTGCTTTGTGTGTCTCTGCAAAGAAAGAAGCAGAAGAAAAAAGGAAATCAAGGCAAGACAGAAAGGAAGGAGGGACGTTACTGTGAAGATAGTGATATAATTTAAACTATTATTTAAACTCACATGGTTAAACCCTGTTGTATTTTTTTCATATTTTAGATCAACTTGATATCTAATGATATGAATGTTGTAAGAAAAAGGAAAAGTCATGAATAGGAAAGGCACGGATATCACTAAAAGCATGAAAATCACCTTGTTAATGCTCCGTTTCAGACACTGGAAAAGGGGGTGGGGAAAACTGGCAATTTTTAGGAAATAAAACACAGTCAGACAGGTAGAAAACCAAGTACACAGATGATTGATCAGCATCCACACGCTAGTAAGGATTTTGTTATATTCCAAAATATCAGGAATTTCCCAAAAGAACTTAATTGTCAAGAGATTGATGTGTATTAGGCACAATTGGCTGAATCTGACCCATGCCAAACTCATAAGAATGAAGTCAACCAAGTATAACTTCTGCTTTTTAATACAGGCAGTGCATTTTGTGAATCCAATGAATCCATTCCCTAAAATTCCTACTATAAGTTCCCCAGATGTTAAAATCAAGAAAATTTTCTCCAGCATACTCAGCGTGAATACAAAGAGAAAAATTCTGATATGACTGGCCAAATCCCAGATAATTTATAAATAAAGTGAAGCTCTTGTCTTTTTAGATAGGCATCTCCTTCTTCACTCTTTGGTTTTGTTTCGTTGTAGATCCTCTTCTTTTGCCGTTAATCCCAGCAGTCATCAATAACTGTCCAATCCATTGCTAGGGTATTCGTTGAACAATTACGGCTCATTCTGTTGAAGAATTTCCAGTCTTGAAAAAGGCTCTTTTGGAATGGTTGGGGTGATGGTTGAACCACAACCAGGGGTGCTCAGGGCTTACTACTGACTCAGAGAACACTCCTGAGCAATCAAATGGGGACCATTTTCAGTACCAGGAATCAAACTGAGGCTGGACACATGAAGAGCAAGTGAGTTAATCTATATATTTTTCCAGTCACTTAATGCAGTTTTGATTTTTGTTTGTTTTTAAGTCACACCCAGCAGAGTTCGTATCTTAGGGTTCACTCCCAGCAGTGCTCAGGGGACCATAGGTGGTGCTGGGGATTTGAACCAGGATTTCTGTACCCACAGCTACATCATGCTAGGTAAGCACCTTAAACTTTGTACTATCTCTCCAGTTCCCCTTGATAAAACCTTGATGTCAACTACAAGCTGTCATATTCTACATGT